ACAGGTCCTGGGCGCGCATACGCATAATGGATGGGCGACGGAGGACGCGCCGATGAATTGGGTACAGGGAAAGGACGCCGGTATGGGGCATATACGGGGCATATGGGGCACACCGCCGCCGCAAAGCATCTCCTCGCCTGGCTTGCTGGCACTCGATGAAATGAAATAAAACATTGGTTGGGGGTTCCTAGAAGTATCAGTTAAGTTCTATTGTGATGTGATTTTGTTCAGGTCTTCCGATTTCGTNCCCAAATTCAAAAAAGTTGGGTGGCAAAGATGGCTCAGGGACCCTAAAATCATAGTTTTGAAGCGAAAAAATATTTAGAAAATATGATGACAAATCGTCTAAAAATTAAAAATTTGAGTTCTGAAACAACTGAAAATATCTGCAAAATCGACATTTTTCGACCAGAAAAGTCTTCAAAATCCTCAATTTTTCATTCCAGGTCGCCGTAAAAATCATTGATAAAACGAAAATGGACGAAGCGTCGACATCACAAATAATGAAAGAAGTTCGATGTATGAAACTCGTTCAACATGCGAATATTGTCCGATTATATGAGGTAAAATTTTGAAAATCGAGCTAAAAACCTGAAATTTGAGATTTGGAGCTTAAAAACCCCCCATTTTTTGGCTCAAAATCTGCGGAAAAAATTGAAAAAATTTCAGATTTTTCCCAGATTTTTCAGCTCCAAAATCTCCAAAAATGCTCAATTTTCAGGTCCTCGACACCCAAACGAAAATCTTTCTGATTCTGGAACTCGGCGACTATGATCTACACGATTTTATCATCAAACACGAGAAGGGCGTTTGCGAATCGTTGGCTCAACAGTATTTTTGTCAAATAATGACCGCCATCGACTACTGTCATCAATTGCATGTCGTTCATCGAGATTTGAAAGTACGAGGGGCTGAAAATTTTGAAAAAACTGAAAATCGCTGAAAAACGGCTGAAAATAGCTGTAAAATAGCTCAAAAATAAAGACAAAAAAAAACTGAAAATTAGCCGTTTTTGTGGAAAAAGTGATTTTTTCGGCTAAGAAATCTGAGCAAAACCTGAAATTTTGAAGAAAAAAAAATGGCTGAAAATTCCCAAGAAGTGCTGAAAAAGAGCCTAAAAAAATTATTAAAAATTCATTTTGGGAAGTGCTGAAAATGCCGTAAGAATTGGCTTAAAATCAGTCACTTTGAAATTTTTCAAAATTCCATCAAAAAGTAGATTTTTTTGGCTGAAAAGTCCGCAAAAAATAGCAAAAATTGCATGAAAAATGATGAAAAAAAAAGGCAGAAATTGGTCCTTGAAATGCTGAAAATCCTCTCATTGACGGGGAAAATCGCTAGAAAATGTTGAGAAAAATCTGAAAAATTGGCTAAAAATGCCGAAAATTTTGCCGTTTTGAGACGATTTTTTTCGGGAAATTTTGACTGGAATTTTTCGGAAAAATAGATGAAAATTGGCTGAAAAATTCCTGATAAGTCACTAGAATTTGATGCTTTGAAATTTCTGAAAATCTATAAAAAATATCTGAAAATCCTCTCAATTTTCAGCCGGAAAACGTCGTGTTCTTCGAGAAGCTTGGAATGGTGAAACTCACGGATTTTGGATTTTCGAATAGCTACGAACCGGGCGAGCAACTGAGCACCTCATGTGGATCATTGGCTTATTCGGCTCCCGAAATCCTTCTCGGCGATTCGTACGATGCTCCGGCTGTTGGTAAGTGTAGGGAAGAGGTTTTTGGGTTGGGGTTTCGAGGCCACTAGTCCATTTTTGCGGAATTTCTAGGCCAATGGACTATGTTCTAGGCTTCTAGGCCACCACTTCGAAATGACCGAGAAAACACACCAGGGTCGCGTTAGACCATTCTTAGGCCATTTTGAAGTGGTGGCCTAGAAAACCACAATTGCAAAAGTTAGGTCACCACTTCAAAACGGCTTAAAAACGGCCTAACATGACCCTGGTGTGTTTTCTAGGTTATTTTGAAGTGGTGGCCTAACTTTTGCAAATTTGGTTTTCTAGGCCACCACTTCAAAATGACCTAGAAAACACACCAGGGGCATGTTAGGGAATTTTAAGGTCATTCTGAAGTGGTGGCCTAACTTTTGCAATGTTGGTTTTCTAGGCCACAGAAATGAAAATAGGGAAAGAGGCCCATACATGCCAAGAATTCCTGGAATCAGAGTTGACGAGCAAAGAAACTTTTTCTGTGTTAGTTTTCTAGCTCACCAACCGATACCATTAGATTTCTCTCATGATTTTACATATAATACGAGCAAGTTGCGAGCCAGATCGTCAAAATTTTGACGAGCACCGTCCAAGCGGATCCAGGAATTCAAAAAATGTAGGAAGAGGCAATTCCAGCTTGTTGTGGCCGAGCTTTGGGTTTCTAGGCCAAAGCAAAAATAGTCGTCTTGAGGATCGAAATTGGATTTTGATGGCCGAGAAATCGACGGAAACTACCGTAACCTTTGGAAATTTTGCAGATGTCTGGTCGCTTGGCGTCATTCTCTACATGCTCGTCTGTGGTCGTCTACCGTTCCAAGAAGCCAACGATTCGGAAACGTTGACGAAAATCCTAGACTGTAAATATTCGATTCCAGACGCGTTGTCTGATGAGTGTGGAGAGTGAGTCTTTCTTTCAAATCGATGATTTTTACTTTGAAAATGCATTTTTTCTTATTGTTTTTTAACCCAAAAGTCATGAATTTTAGGCTATTTTAGCCCAAAAATTCATATACTTTCGACAAATTTTTAGAATTTTTTAGCTGGTAAATCGACGATTTTAGCCCTAAAATTCATGGATTTATCCTGCAAAAATCACTGAAAAACACTGTTCAGCCTCATCCGATCGATGCTCGTTCGTGAGCCGACGAAACGGGCGAGCCTCGAGAAAATCGTGTCCTGCGCGTGGGTTCAAGCAGGCGATCGAGGATTGTCGACGGTGAGTTTTGAATGGGTTGAAAATTGCTGAAAAATGACTGAAAGTCGCTGAAAAATCGCTTAAAAATGACGGAAAATTGCTGAAAAATAGCTATAAATGTTCCAAAAATGACTGGAAATCGCTGAAAAATGGCTGAAAATGACTGAAAATAGCTGAAAAATGACTGAAAAATGGCTGAAAATCGCTGAAATTTTTTTATGAATTTCGAAATTTGAATTCCCGCCAAAACGAAAAATTCTAGGCCATCCATATTTTAGCGATTTCCCAAGGCCTTCAGGAGTTTAAGAATACCGTAACACCTGTATTAGAAGGGCGAGCCCTTATATTATTTGGGTCCCTACTATTTTTCCAAGCCCCTCTCGGTGGGCCCTTCTAATACAGGTTTTACGGTATTCAAACTCCAACGACTCATTAAATATTCCAAAAATCCTGCAATTCCAGGCGATTCCCCTAATCGTCCGCCATCATCTTCCAAGCTCCGCCCACTCGACAATCATCGAACAAATGGTGGCAGGCTGCATCGCGTCAGAAGACGATATTCTTCGATTCCTTGAGAACGATGAGTATAATTCGGTGACTGCCACGTATTACCTGTTGGCTGAAAGAGTTCTAGCATCGTATCGAGAGGAGCAAGCGAGGGAGTTGCTCGCCAAACACATGGAAATGGAGGATACGGTGGGGGCGGAGCTTCCACAGGAAGGGGGCGGAGCTTCGACGGCGAGGAGCAATGTGAAATGTAGGTCACGGTCGAATTCGTGGAGAGCCAGACCATGCTCGATTTTGAAAGAGGAGAGTGAGGAGGAGCTGTCGTCGTATTTGAGATCGGCCAGTCGACAGAGTAGTAGGTGAGTCGGAAAAGGAGGCGGAGTCTAAAGGGGCGGAGCCTTGCTATAAAAAAAAAATTTAAAAACAAGGTTTTCTTTTAAAAATGAGCTAGTTATCAGTAAATCAGTAAATTCGCTCCGTTGAGAAAATTTTGAACAATTCGAAAACATTTAATTTTGCACGATATTTATATGTGGCATGATTTATGTACAGTACCTTTTTCATTTTTTGATTTTTTTTGGATTTTTTTGGGAAATTTGGAATTTTTGAAACTTGCCTTTTTTGAGAAAATCGTAGCATTTGACGTCTTCTGAATTTTCAAATTTTCTGAAATTCCGAATTTCTGAATTTGCGAATTTTCGAATTTCTGAATTTCAGATTTTCTGAATTTCTGAATTTTCGAACTTCTGAATTTGCGAATTTTCGAATTTCTGAAATTCTGAATTTCTGAAATTTTTTGAATTTCTGAATTTCTGAAATTCCGAATTTCAGATTTTCTGAATTTCTGAATTTTCGAACTTCTGAATTTGCGAATTTTCGAATTTCTGAATTTTTGAATTTCTGAATTTCTGAATTTCCGAATTTCTGTAATTCTGAATTTCCGAGGTTTTCAACTTTTCGAC